GAAAATGATCCCTTAAAATTCAATTGTTGACACTTTTGAGAATCTAGTCATAGACGATCATCATCCTTGGGGGCTTCTCGATTTAATACTAAGGTTTCTTAACTAATCAATTATTATATTCATGTCATATAAAATTTCACTCCATAATTTTTTTTCTTATCGTTTGACAACAATCAAATATATTTATTAGTATACTAGTTTTTTACGCGCATTGCGCGATTGGGATAATACCCAATATTTTTTTTTAAAGGCACAAGTGTCAAATAGACTCATCTACTATTTCGAAGTGCTCAATTTCCCCCATCAACTAAAACATAATCTAATTGGACACGTTTACCTCTAAAAATTTGTCGATTAGCTTTTTTTGCAGGCTACCTCTGGGTTGACACTCTACACTGCTGACATGTAATTTTATTTAAATAAAAATGGTAATGATGTGGAATTTACTTCCTAATTTTATTCGAACACATAAGTTAATCGACACCTTCGAATTACCTAATCGAGGCCTTCGAACACATAACGTTTTGCACTGTCGTCGGATGAGGTATTCAGAATGGGCTCTCACTGGTTTTAGTTTTGCGTCGTCGGATGGGGTTATGATTTAGGAATTACATATTTAGGAATTTACGTATTCAGAATTTAGGGTGATTATGTGGCAATTAATTTACGTATTCATAATTTATGAATTAACAATTAGGGTTTGGATTTAAAAAAAAAAAAAAAAAAACAATTAGGGTTTGGAATTACATATTTAGGATTTTGTTATTTAATTGCCCTGTCATCATTGCCAGATAATCAATGACCGGGCCAAGTCAGACTCCACTGGAGTTAACCTGCAAAAAAAGTTAATCGACAAATTTTTAGAGGTAAGTGTGTCCAATTAGATTATGTTTTAGTTGATGGGGGAATTGAGCACTTCGAAATAGGAAATTAGCCTATTTGACACTTGTACCTTTTTTAAATAAGTACTTTAAAGTATATTAAGGCAAGATTATATTGGAATTGTTTATACATAGATAATTGAATGTTGAATTTGCGTATTTAAATAGGCAATTCTAAGTTTACAAATGCAAGATAATGTAGTAAAAATTGATTATAATTGTCAATATTATAATTGTATTTGTATGGTTGAAACCAAATACAAGACATAAGGGAGAACAAATAAAAATTTGGGCATAAAATATTAAATATATACTAATATTGAAGAGCTAATTGTTAATTGTCAAACAAGGACATTGCGAGGTAGTTTCCCACTTCAATTTGTTGTGTGATTTGAATACTCTTTTTGTCAATAAATCCCCCAAGTAGTTAATATGATTGGCTTAATTATATTTGTTTTTATTTTTTTATTTTTTAAAAACAATTATTATTATTATTATTATTATTATTATTATTATTATTATTATTATTATTATTATTATTATTATTATTATTATTATTATTATTATTATTATGTATACCCTTAGGTCATTTTACATGTTAATCTAAACAGCTAATTTTTCCAACTGTTTTTTTACCAACCGTTGATATAATTCGTTGGTCAAATCCACTAATATAATCCGCTAACGCTAACCGCTAACAGCTGATTGTCAAACAAGGACATTGCGAGGTAGTTCTCACTTCAATTTGTTGTGTGATTTGAATACTCTCTTTGTCAACAAATCCCGTAGTTAATATGATTGGATTTATTAATTTTTTTTTAATTTTTTCATGGTATATATTAATAAAATACTTGGTAAATAAATATATAGCATTATTTTGTATTATAACTTTGATATTTAATTAAAAAAATAGTGCACAAAAAAGATAATAGACAATGTTGTGAATATAATCAATTGATGAATTTGAATATAAAGTATTTTTACATTGGAGAAATATATAGACAATATACCTAATAAAATTATTTCTCTTAATTAATTTATTGATAATGAGTAATTTTTTTTAATAAAGACATTGTAGGAACAATGTAGCGAATATAATCAATTGATAATTTGAATGTAAAAAATTGTTATATGGGAGAAAAATAAAGACAATATAACTAATGAAATTATTTCTCTTATACTGATGCAAGATAATATAGTCAAGATTGATTATAATTATCAATAAAATAATTGTATAGGTATGGTTGAAACCAAATACGGGACATAAGGGATAACAAATAAAAATTAGAGCATAAAATATTAAATATATACTAATATTGAAGAGCTAACTACTGATTTCCAAACAATGACATTGCGAGGTAGTTTCTTACTTCAATTTTTTGTGTGATTTGAATACTCTTTTTGTCAATAAATCCCCAAGTAGTTACTACTACTAATACTACTACTACTACTACTACTAGTAGTAGTAGTAGTAGTAGTAGTACTAGTAGTAGTAGTAGTAGTAGTAGTAGTTGTGGTGGTGGTGGTGGTGGTGGTAGTGGTAGTAGTGGTGGTAGTACTAGTAGTGGTGGTAGTGGTGGTAGTGGTAGTAGTGGTGGTAGTAGTGGTAATGGTAGTGGTAGTGTCGTGGTGGTGGTAGTAGTAGTAGGTGGTGGTGGTGGTGGTGGTGGTGGTAGTGGTAGTGGTAGTGGTGGTAGTAGTGGTAGTGGTAGTGGTAGTGTCGTGGTGGTGGTAGTAGTGGTAGTAGGTGGTGGTGGTTGTGGTGGTAGTAGTGGTAGTAGTAGTGGTAGTAGTGGTAGTGGTAGTGTTAGTGTCGTGATGGTGGTAGTAGTGGTAGCAGTAGTAGTAGTAGGTGGTGGTGGTGGTGGTGGTAGTGGTAGTAGTAGTGGTAGTAGTGGTAGTGGTAGTGGTAGTGTCGTGGTGGTGGTAGTAGTGGTGGTAGTAATAGTAGTAGAAGTAGGTGGTGGTGGTGGTGGTGGTAGTGGTAGTGGTGGTAGTGGTAGTAGTAGTAGTGGTGATGGTGGTAGTAGTGTTGGTGTGGTGGTAGTGGTAGTGGTAGTAGTAGTAGTACAGTACTACTACTACCACTGCTACTGCTACTACCGCTACCATCACTACTGCTAGTAGTAGTAGTATTGTTACTGTTACTGCTAGTGTCACTGCTACTACCACTACTACTGCTACCACCACCACCACCACCACCACTACTACCACCGTTACTACCACTACTACCACCACCACTACCACCACCACCACCACCACCACTACCACTGTTACTACCACTACCACTACCACTACCACCACCACTACCACTGCTACTGCTACTGCCACTCCTACTACCACTACCATACCACCACTATCACTACTATCACCACCACTACTACTACTATCACACCACCACTACTAATACTACTATTGCTACTGCTACTGCTATTATTATTATTATTAAATATATGTACGCCCTTAGGTCATTTTACATGTTAATCTAAATAGCTAATTTTTTCAAATATCTTTTTATCACCGTTGATATAATTCGTTGATCAAATTCGTTAACGCTAACCACTAACTGCTGATTGTCAAATAATGACATTGCGAGGTAATTCTCACTTCAATGTGTTGTGTGATTTGAATACTCTCTTTGTCAACAAATCTCTCTAAGTAGTTAATATGATTGGCTTAATTAATGCTATTTTTATTTTTAGTTTTTCATGGTATTAATAAAATACTTGGTAAATAAATATATAACATTATTTTGTATATAACTTTGATATTTAATTAAAAAATAGTGCACAAAAAGATAATAGACAATGTAGTGAATATAATCAATTGATGAATTTGAATGTAAAGAATTTTTAAATTGGAGAAATATAAAGACAATATAACTAATAAAATTATTTATTTTAATTAATTTATTGATAATGAATAATTTTTTTTAATAAAGACATTGTAGGGACAATGTAACGAATATAATCAATTGATGAATTTGAATGTAAATAATTTTTATATTGAAGGAAAATAAAGACAATATAACTAATGAAATTATTTCTCTTATTTAATTTATTGGTAATGAATAACTTTTTTTTTTTTGAATAAAGACATTGTAGACACATCATTCTAAATTAAAGAAATGCATATGTATTGTTTTTTGTTGTATCTACTAAATTATTATTTAATTTAATAAGAGTAAAATAGAGTACTAATTATGTCAACTTTGATTGGGATGAGGTTCGAACCTAAGACCTTTTTATTGAAATCAATGAATAAGTTAACGGTGAACTAACAAAAATTAACGGAAAAGATAATATTTAACGGAAAAAGTTAACGAATAATCATATTCATTAAGGATAAATTAGGAAATCGAAAGCGAAAATTAAAATCTGATCAATCTGAGCCATTCATTTGATTAAAAAATTTGACCGCCATTTTTTCTACTCATTATAGGCCTAACTCTCTTGGGCTCTTATATATATATATATATATATATATATATATATATATATATATATATATATATATATATATATATATATATATATATATATATATATATATATATATATATATATATATATATATATATATATATATATATATATATATATACACACACACACACACACACACATATATATATAGTAGATATAATAGATATAATAATAATAATAATAATAATTCGTCCATAAGTGTAACGTCAATGATAACTTACGGTGCGTTTGGTTGGATGTAGTTTAGTTGTAATTGAATTGTAATTCAATGAAAATCTCAATTATATAGTTGTAAACTTTTAATTAAATTGTACCCCCATGAATTGCAATTCAATGCTGGGAAAAGGGGAAAATAGATGAAATGGCACAAATGTCCTTGTATATTATTATTATTATTATTATTATTATTATTATTATTATTATTATTATTATTATTATTATTATTATTAGATTTATTACCGAAATGGCCCCTCGACTATTGTAAATTACCAATTTGGTCCTCAACAGTTTTTATTGCCCAATTAAGTCTCTCAACTTTGAAAATGTTAACCATTATTGTCCTCTATTAAGTCAGGTGTTAGAAGCCTGTTAAATTAGAGGGCATTGATGGAATTTCACATTAGATATAGTTAAATTAGAGCAAATATGAATCCACCCAGTTGCTATGGCGATGCCGCAGTTGGTTTGAGCTCTTCACCCCATTGTCGCCGCTCTCCGACCCCACCGCCGCAGAAGCATCGGCGGCGGCGCCGGATCCGGCGCTGAGCTTCTCGATGTCCATGTAAGTAGAGAAGATATCGTCCTCGGATCCCATCTCCTCGAAGCTCCCGGCCGGCACGGCGGTGTCGAAGGGGTCGGACGCCAGATCCAGATCCTCTGGTGGTGTGATTGCCAGAATGCAGAGGGAAACGGCGATGTTTGGTTGGCTAATGGCTTCGAACCTGATGGATCTTGCATCTTGATGGGAGTAGAAAATGCAAGAAAACAAACAAACAAAACAACTCTTTTTGTTAGGGAAATTCAGAGGACAAAAAGGACGAAGCTTTTGAGTTATGCAAAGAAAGAAACAGAAAGTGTATGTAGTAACCAATAATGGCGACTGGAAGGAAAATCGGCGATCTAGTTTCCACCGGAAAAATCAAACAACAAGCCTCAAACAACAAAAACACCAATGCAATTCCACACATCCAGAAAATCAAACCATTTTATAGACCAAGAACACCAACCAGACGTCTCTCTTTCGCCGGAAAATACTTCCAACGCCAGAAATACATCCTACCGATTCATAACGGGTTGAACTTTCCGGAAAAACCACACAACATCGGAAAAGCCGATAACCACCGTAAAGTTCCAAACCATATGAACACCACCAGAAATAAACAGAGATCTGTAAATGGGTCTTCTCAAATTGAAATGGATTAATCAATTAAATAATATAAGAAATGGATTTTTTAATGTGAAATTCCACCAATGTCCTCTAATTTAACAGATTTCTAACACCTGACCTAACGGATGACTAAAATGGTTAACATTTTCAAAGTCAAGGGACTTAATTAGGCACAAAAAATTATCGAGGACTAAATTGATAATTTCGCAATAGTCGGGGGACCATTTCGGTAATACACTCTTATTATTATTATTACATAAGTACGTTTTAGTCTTATACTACTTTTTCCTTCTCATTCAAAATAATTTTATTCTTCCCTACTAGACAATATAATTTGAGTATTTGACTTTCTACCTTACTAGTATTTGCGCCCGTGCGATGCACGGAATAGATTTGTTGTAATATATTAAGAATATTTGGATCGATATATAATTATTTAAATTAAAACATCAAATATTATATAGTTCAATTGAATATACGGGTTGGATCATTTATGTGTTTTTATATTATCATTGTATGAATTTAAGCAAATAATTGCTCAAATTAATAGCTAAGGTGTAGATGTATGCATGTAGTGTTATAACTTTGGAGATTTTTTTTATCATTGTTTAGTATTTTTTTTATAAATTATACAAATGTGTTCGTTTTCTAGCAACTCAGTTATATGAATGAATTGTTATCTTAATTCATTTGTATGGAGGATATTTTTTTTTGTCTATACATATAGCAATTTTGTCATTTAAAAAATATAATATAAACGATTTTATTTACACATTGTTGAAACCTCTTTGTAGACGACATTGGTAGTAGCAACACAATCTTGTTCATCATCGTCTAGAGCTAACACCTTCAATTGATCAGGATGGGTGACTCGGTGAAAATATATAATGGTATAATATTAGTCAATTAGCGATCCTTTTATATTTTAAATAAATTAGTAATATCATATTCATTTTCAGTCAATTATTCTTTTATATTTTTAGTCAATTAGAATATTACATGGAGTGATATTTTTACCTAATTTGTGTTCCATTTTTAATTGAGGATGTATAATATTATTATTGAAATATTTTTGTTCCATATGTAACTTACCTTTACTATTGTTTAAAATATGCATTTACTATTTATGATGTAGAATATTATTATTGAAATATTGGCGTTCAATTTTAGTTTCCCTTCCATTTTAATTAAAATGCAATGGTCTAACCATTTATTTTTTTCATATTAGTCAATTATGAATAATTTTTTATTTGCAGTCAATTATTAATATTCATTTCCTTTTAAATTTTCAATCCATTAGTAATATCATATTTATTTTCATCCAATTACTTTTCTTTTATTTTTAGTCAATTAATCAATTAGCGAACTAAAATATCAAATGCAATGATATTTTTACCAAATTTTCGTTTCATTTTTAATCGATGATTTAGAATATTATTATTAAAATATTTCCATTTTATTTTTAATTTTCGCTACATTTTTAATTTACCTTTACTATTGTTTAAAATATGTCTTTAGTATTGATGATGTAGAATATTATTATTGAAGTATTTCCTTTTCATTTTTAATTTACCTTTACTTGATAGTGTAGAATATTATTATTGAAATATTTCCATTCTATTGTTTAAAATTGTGTAAAATTTATGACATACTTGTGATTTTATGTATTATACTGTATAACATTATTGTGAAAAATTAAAATGCAATGATCTGACCATTTTTTTTTTCTATTTTAGTCAATTATGAATCTTTTCTTATTTTCAAACAATTGTTAATATTCATTTCCTTTTTCAATTAACCTAATGTTTGTTGCCAAACACTTTGTGCTTAGATGGCATGTAGTGATTTCTTTTATGTGGGAAGTCATGAGATCGAGCCTTAGTGAAGGTGTTGGTTGAGAAAATATGTTTGAACAGATACATATTTATTTACTTAATTTTCATTCCATTTTTAATTGATAATATAGAATATTATTGTGAAATATTTTTGTTCTTTTTTTTCATTTTTTTTTAAATTTACCTTTACTATTTACTATTGTTTGAGCGATAAATCAAGTAAATAGAATTTTGTTTTTAATTATATTATAGATCTTTTTTCTTTTTCTATTGTTTGGGTGTGAAAGTAAGGAAGAAGGATTTTCTTTTTAATAATGGTATAGATTGAGAATCTTTTTATATTTACCTATTTAACTTATTATTATTAGTATTAATCAGTGACTTTCATTTCTTTTTCTATTTTTAGTGAATTAAGGATTCTTTTATATTTTTCTATTTTAATGTTAACTTTTAATTTTACTGATTATTATTAGTATTAATTATTCAGTGAATTCCATTTCATTTTATATTTTTCGTAAATTATGAATCTTTTTTTTAATTTTTTTTTTGTAGGATTGTTTTTACTGTTATTTTTATTATGACCCATTTTTTTAAAAAAAATCTTTCATTTTCATTGAATTAAGAATCCTTTTTTATTTGCAATTTTACTGATTATTATTAGTATTAATCAGTAAATTTCGTTTATTTTTCCATTTTTAGTGAAGTAAGGATCTTTTTTTTTTCTTCATATTTTACTGCTAATTTTCTGACTGATTATTATTACTATTAATTAATCAGTGAATTCCATTTCTTTTTCTATTTCTCGTGAATTAAGAAATTTTTTTTATTATTCTAATTTTTGGTAGAATTTTCTTTTTTTTACTGTTATCCTTATTATGATTTTTTTTTCACACCCTTACGTTTCTTTTTTCCATTTTCATTGAATTAAGACTCATTTTTTTATTTTTTTTACCAATTATTATTAGTCATAATCAGTAAATTCTGTTTATATTTTCATTTTTAGTGAATTAAGGATCTTTTTTTTACTGATTATTGTTAGTTTTAATTAATTAGTGAATCTCGTTTCCTTTTCTATTTTTTGTGAATTAAGGATCTTTTTTTCTATTTTACTACTAACTTTTTTACTAATTATTATTAGTATTATTAATTGGTAATTTTTTTTTATTGTTTGGGCGGGTAAGTAAGAAATGGGGGTTTAGTTTTTAAGAATAATATAGAATTTTAGTGAGTTAAGGATCCTTTTTATAGAATTCTCTTTCAATATTTAAATACATTAGCATAGTAATTACACCAAAGAAGGAAAGAAAAATTATTAGAATAATAGTATTTTCACCCGTTCGATGCACAGAATGTATTTGTTGTAATATATTAAGAATATTTGGATCAATATATAATTATTTAAATTAGAACATCAAATATTATATAGTGCAATTGAACATATGGTTTGGATTATCTATGTGTTTTGATGTTATCATTGCTTAAATTTGAGCAAATAATTGCTCAAATTAATAGCTAATGTGTAGATGTACGCATGCGGTGCTGTAATTTTGGAGATTTTATTTATCATTGTTTAGTATTTTTTTTTTATATAAATTAGTCAAATGTGCTCATTCTCAAGCAACTCAGTTATAGGAATGAATTACTATCTTAATTCATTTTTATGGAAGATATATATTTTTTTGTCTAGATATATAGCAAATTTGTCATTTAAAAAAATATCAACGATTGTATGTACACATTATTGAAACATCTTTCGACATTGGTAGTAGCAACACAATCTTGTCCATCATTGTCTATAGCTAATACCTTCAGTCCATCATGATGGGTGACTCGAGTGAAAATATATAATTGTAGAATATTAGTCAATTAGGGATTTTTTTATATTTTAAGTAAGTTTGTAATATCATATTTATTTTCAGCCAATTATTCTTTTTTATTTTTAATCAATTAGTCAATTAGAATATCATATGCAATGATATTTTTACCTAATTTTTGTTCGAGTTTTAATTGATTATGTATAATATTATTATTGAAATATTTCCGTTGCATTTTTAATTTAACTTTATTATTGTTTAAAATATGCCTTTATTATCTATGATGTAGAATATTATTGTTGAAATATTTCCGTCAAATTTTAGTTTCCATCAATTTTTAATTAAAATGCAATGATCTAACCATTTATTTTTTTCATATTAGTTAATTATAGATCATTTTTTATTTGCAGTCCAACTATTAATATTCATTTCATTTTATATTTTCAGTTAATTAGTAATATCATATTCATTTTCAGCCAATTATTCTTTTTTTATTTTCAGTCAATTGGTCAATTAGAATATCAGATGTAGTGATATTTTACCCAATTTTCGTTCCATTTTTAATTGATGATGTAGAATATTATTATTAAAATATTTCCGTTTCATTTTTAATTTTCATTGCATTTTTAATTTAACTTTATTATTGATTAGAATATGCCTTTATTATTGATAATGTAGAATATTGTTATTTAAATATTTCCTTTTCATTTTTAATTTACGTTTACTTGATGATGTAAAATATTATTATTGAAATATTTCTGTTTCATTTTTAAAATTGTGAAAGATTTATGACATAATTATGATTTGATGTACTATATTGTGTAATATTATTGTAAAAAATTAAAATGTAATAATTTGACCATTTTCCTTTTCCATTTTAGTCAATTATGGATCATTTTTTATTTTTAGTCAATTATAAATATTTATTTCCTTTTTCAATTAACCTAATTTATGTTCCTTTTTTCATTTTTAATTTTCAGTCAATTATTAATATTCAGTTATTTTTTCAGTTTACCTAATTTCCATTCCATTTTTAACGGATGATGTAGAATATTATTGTGAAATATTTATGTTCTTTTTTTTCATTCTTTTTTTAAAATTTACCTTTACTATTTACTATTGTTTGGGTGGGAAATCAAGTAAATAGGATTTTGTTTTTAATTATAGTATAGATTGACTCATTTACGAATTGGTTCAATAAATCGTAAATATTACCAATTGTTTGTTTACAAAATAATCTTTATCTAATTATATCTATATTAAATTATATATATATATATATATATATATATATATATATATATATATATTATTTAATAAATTAGAAATTATAAAAATAAAAAATGATTAAATTGTGTAAAGTATATCAGGGAATATTACGGATTATTTGCTTAGATGAATTACTTACTGAAAAAAATGTAGTGAATTATTTTATTAAAAGCAGCAAAAAATTGTGTATATAAATTAATAAATTAGTCGTATAAATTAAAAATGAAAAAACAGAAAATACATACTTAAAATTAGATTTCTAACTTATTTAATTTTCAGAATTTCGAAATAAATTTTTAATTGTATATAGTAAGGTAAGAATAATTCTTATGCAATATACGATTTGACAACTCAATTAATATTAAGATTTCGTGCAATGAACATGTATATCATCTTGTGTACTCATTTGAACGGTAATTTATTTTTATACAGTAATTATGCATAATAAATTAATATTATGCTAATTAATAACTAATAAAATTTATTATTAATTTGACCATTAAAATTAGTCTGGATGATAAAAAATATATATGAATTGGTTCAATAAATCATAAATATTACCAATTGTTTGGTTAGAAAATAATCATTATCAAATTAAAATTGATTAATTTGACAAATTATACTTAAGATAAATATTACAGATTATTTACTTATATAAAACTTTTATTTAATTATTATTTTATAATAAGGAGTGAAAATTTATATATATATATATATATATATATATATATATATATATATATATATATATATATATATATATATATATATACCATATTGGTTATTGGTTATATACCATATTATGGATTTACGTCCATATGAGAATATGAAAAGAATAAATGTACGACCTAATTAATACTACGCATTACATAATATCATACCTAATATTACTATATATAATACCATACGTAATTATTATTTTTAATACCATGCATACAATTACCATACATACTTAAAATTAGATTTCTTAAATTGGTTATAAATCATATTATAGTATTACGTCCATATGAAATAATATTAACATACATAAAATTACCATACATACTTGTTAATATTTAGATTTATTAAATTGGTTACAATTCATATTATGGTAAAATAATTCTTATGCAATATACGATTTGGAAACTCAATGAATATTAAGATTTCGTGCAATGAACATATATTCCATCATGTGTACTCATTTGACCAAAAATATGAAGGTTGGTTCAATAAATCGTAAATATTACTAATTGTTTGGTTAGAGAATAATTTTTATCAATAAAAATTAAAATAATTAAATCTCTATCATATTCATATGCTGTTGCTTTAGGCTTTTGTCAAGGAGCACTACTCACGATCCTCAACACATTGTCATGGCTCCAAATCCTTGTGTTACTCCTATTGGTGCTGGAAGGACTGTCACATCAGGAAAAAAAATATTAATAGTCCAAACTCATTCAATGATGTCCCCTCTCATGCAAATGACCTGCAGATCTAGTTGCTCAGAGTCCACTAATAATCAGATGGTCAGTTTTTTTTCTATCACTATGAATAGTGCATTATTTAATCTTGCCCAGAGTCCAATAATAAACAACTTTTAATGGATTGAGATAAGGTATTAGAGAAATACCTTTTAAGTATTAATTATCATTTATTTTTTCAATATAATCATAGTTTATATAATATATGTAGATAGATTTTAAATTTCACCAATGGTATATATGATTTTCTATTCTTTATTAAAAAAAAAAAAAGAGTTGAAAAAGGATACAGAGATTTACCAAATGTGTAGGTGTAGTGCAACAGCTCTTCTGGATACGCAGAGAATATGGGTCTTGTTCCTCCTCTTCTTGAAGGTCCCTGTTCTCTACACCATTGCTATGCAGTTGCAGAGAATATTCCCTTAGGTTCTTCGTAACTTGGTACTGTTTGTATTGAAGAGAATGTGATGTATATATAGGTGTTTAGATATGATTAAGGGTAACATTTATGATTTTTATTATATTACCAATTACCAATTACCAATTAAAATTAGAGTTACAATTTTACATTTGCTTACCAAAAAATTATATATAGATACTTAATTTATATTTGAAGAATATATTTACCTAATTTACTTTATATACAGTAATAAGTATGTCTACACATAAATGAATAATATATAATATATAATTTCAATATTTTGATAATTAATTAAATTAGAAAATTAGGATATTATATAAATGCCGCTAAGTTTTGGGGGAAAATTTATATGGTTTTTATATTATTATTATTATTATTATTATTATTATTATTATTATTATTATTATTATTATTTTATTATTATGCTTACATTATTTCATAAGATTTTTATTATATTTGAACAATAATATTTTCAATTATATTATAGAATATAATACCATACATAATATTACTATTACTAATTATGTAATATAACAATTAATAGATTTTATTTAATTTCCATTTGACATTTACTTACCAAATAAACTTTACTACAAAAATTTTGGAGGGAAAACTTGGCTAGGAGGATTTTACTTTTATATATATATAGATATAGATTTTCTTCCCAATAGTATTATTAATTGTTTGGGCGTACGGCTTACTTCCTTCCATTCTTTTTCGTTTTTTTTTTCATATTATTATTAATTGTTTAGGTGGGAACTTGTAAAGGAGGATTTGTTTTTATTAATTAATATAGAATATAAATATAGAATATAGATTACCAATTAAAATTAGTTTTTTTTTTAATATTATATTTGAACAATAATATTACCTATTATTATTATTATTATTATTATTATTATTATTATTATTATTATTATTATTATTATTATTACTAAGGAGTAATTATGGCGATCCCATAATTACGCCAAAAAAGAAATACACTTTTGACCTATACAATGAGGAATTGAGCATGGATTTCATAACTGTCAAAACCGGCACCATGAGAATAAGACAACTTAACAAATCAAAACTTCAGAAGTCCGATTACTTCAATAATCAATGCAAAGAACTAAGAAGAATATAATAATAGTCAATTGGTGTATTAAAGGCGATTCATGCTATATCTTGTCGTGTATATTACAACAGAAACTTAACCACACCCCATTCTCCAATCACCCGTGAGTCACACATTTTATTGTGTGGCACTTGAAATTATTGACCAATGACAGTATAGCAACAAAATGAAGAGAGAGATTAGAGGATTCAGCACTCAGCATCCCTTTAAACGGGCAGGAGTAGGCACCACTCAAAGCGAGATTCACATGAGGCTACCTTTCATCAATGATAATGAAACTTCAATAGAAGCAAAAAATCAATATATGAAATGAACTTGGAGTAACCGTAGAAATATTCAGAATGAATCATAATGTAGGCATATGATATGAATAGCTTTTCGCTGAAAAAAGTATTAAATTTGGACAATACAACCATGAAAAACGTATTGTATCTAATCCAATCAAACTACTTGGATGTTAAACCTACCGTTAATTTTGAAACGCGACTAAACTGAATGATCAAGGCTGAAGACCTATTGGGAAAAAAGAGATGCAATATAAAATGAAGACTTATAATTTTTGTAGTCATCAACTCATTGTATTTATAGGTGAAAAATATGAGAATTATAAATTATAAAATTTTTCAAAAAGAAAGTGTATTTATTTATTTAAGGTATTGCCCTAATCAATTCATTATATTGATATTCCTAATCAATTCATTATATTAATATTCCTAATTAATCTTATTCATAATCAATTCATAATATTGATATTACTAAACTTCCATTTTTCATTTGCTTACCAAATAAGCTTTATTAAGTATTTGACCAATAAAATATAAAATGTTTAATTAATTTGACAACAAAAGTTTGGGCGGGAAAATGAAATAGGAGGATTTTACTTTTATATATATATAGATTCTTTTCTCACCGAATTGCAATTCCTTTCCTTCCTAATTCTTTCATTCCAACCAAACACCTCCTTAGGGATAAAAAGTGAATATGACCAACACTCAAAAACGAATTCTACAATTACCCTATTACCCTATAACTTAAAAATGAAAAGTCAAAAACGAATTCTACAATTACCCTATTACCCTATAACTTAAAAATGAAAAGTGCAATTTATCTTTATTTTTTTTATTATTATAAGGAAGGGGGATAACCTACATATATATACACACTAATTGCCTCAACTGAGATTTGAACCCATCACCTTTCACTTAAGGAAGTGATCCAATACCAGTGGACTACAAGCCACTTGGTTGCAGTTTATCTTTATTATTATTATTATTATATTATTATTACAATTACAATTAGTATTAGTATTATTCCATAAGATTTTTAAATAATATTATTCTATAGCAATAATAATTATAATATTGCAAAAAAATGACGTGTAAATTAAGAAACAAAATATTTATTTATATAAATAATAAAATGTTTAAAGAACATTTAATAATATTCAGAAGAAAAATAATATAAGTTTTTTTAAAACAAAATACCCAAAACAATGTTCAAAAATTTCAAAACTTTCCCTGAATCTCAGTTACCCATTTAATTTCGTTCCTTTCCCGAAAATCCAACCCCCTGAAATATAAAAACTTTCATTTGGCACGAAAACACCTGCGCGCAATTCCAAACTCAAAAAATTTCAAAACCTCAAAAAAATGGCGGATATATACACCCCAAACTCTTCCCCCCTCCCACATCTGCACTCGTCACAATCCTCTCTCTGTCTCCGTCTCTTTTCTCGATTCGAATTCCTGTGAATCGGAGGAGCAGAAAGGCAGAAGAGGAAGCTAGCAATGGCGGAGCAAGAAAACTGCATGAGAGTCACTCGCTGGGCGAAGAAGAGAGCGGCAGACGGACTTATTGTTGAACAACAACCGGGAAAGAAGAGGGTGGCGTTGAGGGAGATCAAGGACTTCCCAAATCAGATTCAAAATCTGGGGTCTAAACTTCACGGTCCCAAGAAGACTAAGCAGCAGGCGAAGAAGAAGGTGAAGAAGATCGTGAAAGTGGAGAAAGGGACTAATGGGGTGGAGAAGGATGGTATTGATTCCAAATCCGATGACCCTCAGATGTGCAGTGCTTATGTTTCTGATATTTACGAGTATCTGCGTCAAATGGAGGTGAGTATTTGAAACTTAAAACTTACATTTATTGATTTTGTTATTCTGGGTAATATTTGGATTTGGGTATTGATTGAATTGAGTTTCTGTAATTAGGCGCAAGAGAAAAGAAGACCTTTGTGTGATTATCTTGAGAAGGTTCAGAAGGATATTACTGCAAACATGAGAGGGATTTTGGTGGACTGGCTGGTGGAAGTTGCAGAGGAATACAAGCTTCTCTCAGATACTCTATATCTAACTATTGACTATATCGATAGATTCTTGTCCAAAAATCCAATCCCCCGGCAAAAACTTCAGCTTCTGGGTGTTTCATCAATGCTTATTGCCTCTAAATATGAGGAGATTAGTCCTCCCAATGTGGAAGATTTCCGTTACATTACAGACAATACCTATACCAAGCAAGAAGTAGTGAAGATGGAAGGAGATGTGCTGAATGCCCTCAAATTCGAATTGGGAAACCCCACGATTAAGACATTTCTGGGAAAATTTACCCAGATTGCTCAACAAGACTATAAATCAGAAAATTTGCAGTTGGAGTTCTTGGGCTACTACCTAGCAGAGTTGAGTTTGTTGGACTATAGCTGCATAAAGTTTTTACCTTCTATGGTGGCTGCAGCTGTTGTATTCCTTTCAAGGTTCACACTTAAACCAGAAGTGCATCCATGGAGCCAATCACTGCAAGATTACACTGGATATAAGCCAGCTGATTTGAAGGAATGTGTTTCTGTCATACATGACTTGCAATTGAGTAGAAGAAGAGGATCTTTGGTGGCTTTAAGGGAGAAATACAAGCAGCCCAAGTTTAAAAGCATTTCAACACTGTTGTCTCCAATACACATCCCAGATTCCTATTTTGAAGATCCAACAATGTAAAAACATGGGCCGGCAAATGCATTATATAGAGTAGAATAGAGAGTTTTGTTGAAGCCAAGCAGTCTTGAGGTGTAGGAAATAGGAATACTCTTCATTGCTGCTTGTTTTGACCTAACTTCATATGTGTCTTTAGAGTTTAGACAAATCTGGAATGAAAACATATATTTAAACAGTGCCTTAGTTTGCACAATCTACAGAAGTCTTATGTTCAGAGTTCTGATATTTTGTTATGATTCATATATAATACTTGGGATAACTGTAAAAAAAAAAAAAAAAAAAAAAAAGCTAGTACGTAATGTTCATAAAATGTAAATTTGTACTATTAATAAATCTATACTATTCCGTATTAATACAATTTCTAATAGAATATATTGTTTTTTACTTTGCTATTTGTACTACAATTCTATATTAAAATTTTTATTCGTAATACAATATAACAATATTAAAATTCATATTCTTACTCAACAATATATTTTTACGTCACTACTCCAAAATACATTTGTTTTAATGGTTGAATTTGGTAATTTTTCCAAAATCATTCTTTTAAGTTCTAATAAATAACCTCTTTTGAACCCTATATCAGAATTATATTTCCTTTTTCGGTCAAACAAGATACTAATATAATGTCTTCTTTGGGTGTCCACTTTCTTTTTAGGGGAAAAGTCATTGTTAACTACAAATAAAATACATAATAGTGTCCATAAATTGGATTAATAAATTATTCATCAAAACTCAAACACACATAACAACATTGCACTACCAAATATAATCCCCATTAATTTCTAGATGTTATCCATTCATTGAACATGTCATTTGCTAATTCTGTCCTCCAATTATTTCAAACTTCTAAAGGCTCTATTTGTGTAATATCATCATTAGGGGAGAGCAACGGATATATCGGATCGACGGGGGCATAAACCGAACGGATTTCGAATTACAGATTGAAAGACCCAACCCTTTTTTTATTTTTGGATTGCCCAATCGATTTTTTAGTAATTCGGTTCGGTTCGGACCAGCCGGATAACTAACTTTAAATCGGTTCTTTAAAAAGCTGAAAAACAATGAAAAAATCAATCAAAAATGCTAAAACTCAAAAAAAAAAAAAAAATATTATACTAAACTAGTAAACTGATAGTAATTACTAATTACTGACTGTGTAAACTAAGTAAAACTAAGTACTAAATAGTAAATACTAACTGCTAAGTGCTAACATTGCAAGTCTGTAACACATACACATTACACAACTACAGATTTACAGTCTACAATCTACAACTCTACATAAGTATTAATAATGAATATTCAATATACTAAAATTGAACAAATATCAATTATCCACATTGACCATGGTCTATAGTGTAATTTGTCGATATTGGCCGACTTTATCTAATCTTATTAGTAAAAAGGTCAAGCCTAGATCTATTTTAAGCTTATTTACCTAAATAGCACATACTCCCATGAGAACAAGGCTTTTGTGAAAAATTTGGACAAATTGTTAAATGTTAACGATCAATCTAGTGTATCTAATGATTGAAAAATAATGGGAGAGAGAGAGAGAGAGAGAAAAACATAGTTGATTTCATTAGGAAAATGTTATTTTATCCTCTAAAATTTCCTTTAATGTTCTCCCCTTTCACCAAGGCGACAACAACAATTATTACATGCTTGTTAACATCCAAAGACTCCACAATATTGGAACCCACAAAAAGATCGTCATTTACATGACTGTTAAGAAGAGTTGCTGACATACACCTGACGTTATTGTCTTTTTTTTGTTCAAATTTTCATTACCCTCCAGGCCCTCCTCATCATTTGTGTTCAAATTTTCATAACCCATAATGTATTCTCATACATGCAAAATCAATTTGAACAAAACCCTACCACGCAGGGATTGAGCATCTATTTGCAAAAAGATTTGGGGTGAGAGAGGCTTGAACTCTCAACCTCAGGATCACTCTAAGCTATGAGACCTACGCGATAGCCAACTGCGCCACTACCCCCTTGTTGACATTTTTATTTGTAAAAGCTAATATTTAATACTTTTCAAACCCATCCCTATTTCCGATCTTGTCTTTTATACTCCTATTATCTTTGCAGTAAATAATATGGAGTAAAGCTGGAAAATAACAACATTAACAAACAAGCGCCACATCTAGATAGTAAATTACTAAATTAGGAGCAATTTATGCATATTCTTCGAAGATTTACAAAAATGAAAATGATATATTTTTTTCCATGAATTATAGGCTTATAATATTTTTTCTACCATGAGTAATTCATAATCAACATTAGCCCCTTTAATTATTTTAAAACTGATGATTCCCCACTTTATATATATACATAATTTGAATATCGTTTTTTCATAATGCAATGTGGACCATATAATTTGCTCGTACAAAAAATGTTCACTCACAAAGATAGATTTTTGCCCTCCAAAAAGTTACTTTAATTTTATTTTTTTTTTGGAGTTAATTTCAGCAATGTTCCTCCGATTATATTGATTTTTCAAAATTAGTCTCCGACTTTTAATTTGAACACTTTACGTCGCTTGACTTTCAATTTCTTTCCAATATGGGTCATTTCGTCAGATTACGATATAGTGGACTTTAAATGAAAGTATAAAGTAGTCATTCCATCTGTCTAATGTATAATTCTTCATATTTCTTCCTTGTATACGTGACTTTGAACATCAGACTTAGTGTGCTGACCGTAGGGATGCGGGATTAATCTTCTGGCTATCGGCTGGAGGGATACCTTTGGGCAACCAAAAAAAAAAAAAGTTGCAAGTATTGTAATTTATTGCTATTATTATGTAATCTGTTAAAATATTCAATATTCAATTAGATATATATATATATATATATATATATATATATATATATATATATATATATATATATATATATATATAGTGAAAATATAGTAATTTATTGCTATTATTCTGTAATCTGTTAAAATATTCATTTCGAACCGAATTAACCGTTAACCAAAATTTTGCAAATCCTTTAACCATTAACCAAACCAAAATTTTTCGGTTAAAGAACAATTAACCGAAATTCTTCGGTTCGATCGGTTAACAGAACTTCCACCCCTAGCTAAATAGACAATTACTTACATATTGTCATCCATAATAACTTGCATGTGTAGAGTAAAAAAGAAATATTATATGTAGTCATAGTAGTAAATGTGTAGATAGTATAACAGCTACTTTATAAAAGACCCCGTTCCCATTTAATCATATATATATATTCATTTTTTAAAAATATTAAAAATTTAAAAGTTTGTAATAATTATAAAATTAATCTCATATATTTTTAATAAAATCTTCAATTATTGATGAGCTATAATGATCACTTGATATCAATCTTCACTTTTGATAAGAATATCTTATTCTCATTTGACATGCCCATATATATATATATATATATATATATATATATATATATATATATATATATATATCTACTATACTAATAAGAGCCCAAGAGAGTTAGGCCTATAATGGGTAGAAAAAATGGCGGTCACAGATTTTAATCAAATGAATGGCTCAGATTGATTTAAAGATTGATAAGATTTAAATTTTACACTAAAATTTCCTAAAATACCCACACACCGTTACTAATTCCGTTAAAATTTTAAGAATTGCCGTTAGTTCACCGTTAACTTACTCATTGATTTCAATAAAAATAAAAAATAAAAATAAAAATAAAAAAAGGTCTTAGGTTCGAACTTCATCCCAATCAAAGTTGGCATAATTAGTACTCTATTTTACTCTTATTAAATTATATAAATAATAATTTAGTACCTACAACAAAAAAATTTAGATATGCATTTCTTTAATTTAGAATTATGTGTCCATAATGCCTTTATTCAAAAAAAAAATTATTCATTATCAATAAATTAAATAAGAGAAATAATTGTATTAGTTATATTGTCTTTATTTTTCTACAATATAAAAATTCTTTATATTCAAATTTATTAATTGATTATATTCGCTACATTGTCCTTACAATGTCTTAATTCAGTTAAAAAAAAATTATTCATTATCAATAAATTAATTAAGAGAAATATTTTCATTAGTTATATTGTCTTTATTTTTCTCAAATGTAAAAATTTTTACATTCAAATTCATCAATTGATTATATTCACTACATTGTCTATTATCTTTTTTTGTGCACTATTTTTCTAATTAAATATCAAAGTTATAATACAAAACAATGCTATATATTTATTTACCAAGTATTTTTATTAATACCATGAAAAAATTAAAAAAATATATAATTAATAAAGCCAACCAAATTAACTACTTGAGAGATTTTGTGACAAAGAGAGTATTCAAATCACACAACAAATTGAAGTGAGAACTACCTTGCAATGTCCTTGTTTGACAATCAGCAGTTAGCGCGCGGATTATATTAGCGAATTTGACCAACGAATTTATTTAATTATTAACATTGGGTAGAAAAAATGACAGCCAAATTATTAAATCAAATGAATGGTTCAAATTGTTCAGGTTTTAATTTTTTAAATTTTTTTTCTAATTTATCCTTAATTATATGATTATCCATTTAACTTTTCCGTTAAATACCGTTAATTCACCGTTAGTCTAATTATAATATTAACGTCTAATATAGAATTATAATTACATCATTAATCTAATTCTAATATTAAAGTCTTAATAGAACTTAACCACAAATCCTAATGTCGAAATCTCCTCAAACAATATTAGTATATATTTAATATTTTATGCCCTAATTTTTATTTGTTCTCCCTTATGTCCCGTATTTGGTTTCAACCATACCTATACAATTATTTTATTGACAATTATAATCAATCTTGACTATATTATCTTGCATTTGTAAACTTAGAATTACCTATCTAACCCGCACGGGCTTAGCTCAATGGTTTAGTGGGCAGTATTTTGGAGAAGAGACCAAGGTTTGAACCTCGGCGGCGGCAGTGCGGGAATTATGTCCAAAGTGGGCAGATTCCTTGTTCGCACCGGCATTTGGTCCTGTCTGCTGAACCATTGAGTCACCGTGATTTACAACTTCCTACAATGCTCTGTCGGGTCAAAGTGTGGGGGGCCCTTGGGGTAGGGGACTCAACCTTTGGGAGAAGAATTACCTATTTAAATACGCAAATTCAACCTTCAATTATTTATGCATGAACAATTTCAATATAATCTTGCCTTAATATACT